TGCGGACACTCGGGACTGTCTTAGATTGCGTGCCAATGTTGCTGAATAATTTCTGTCCCCTCATCTCCACACGGAGGCGAGGTCCAATCGCGATTTTCCCGGCGGGGGTGCGAGACGTGGTTATAGGAAACGCGGTTCGTGCGGAGTTATACATCGGAGGTAATAAAACGCGCTGGTAATTACTTGGCCAGACAATCATTAATCTTCATCGTTGTATCGACCGCGTCGGTAAGTTGCCTCTTGCGACTCCCCATTGCTGTTAATGAAACGATGCGATAAGCAGACGGAGATTTTGCTAGATAAAAGTCCGCCCCACGGTCATATCAGACTTTCGCATTAGCACGAAGACAAAGGACGTGACATAAAGCCCGGGGACGTGAACATTCGTCGCGAAATTCCTTAATGTCCCTATCGTATATTTGTGCTTCAACGTACCAATAAACTCCCCGCAGGGCAGGGATTCGTTTATCCCGGCGATCCAAAGAAACCGCAATTAAAATGCACGCTCCGGTACACCTCGTGCACGATTCTATTAAATTGCGTTAAAGCGTTAAATGCGCCAATAGAGCGGCCGAATGGAGCGCAGCCCTCTAGCTAACTCGAAATCTTCATAATACCGTGAAAGAGCCTTTAGCTTTTCTCTACCCTCGCACGCGGTAGTATCCACTATTTGAGAACCGTCAGTAGGCACGACGACTCGCGACGCATTCACGACAGAAATAAATACGGAGTGAAAAGGGCTCGGGCTCTCTTTTCACGGAAGGATATAATTGCCAGAAAAATAAACGATCGCAAAAGTCTGTTTGCCCACGTCTTTCTCCACTACCTCCCCGCGCCCAGCGGGGCGGAGAACTCTTCGTACCCTGTCTTCTGGTTTCTCCCCCTCGCGCCAGCTACATCTCCCATTCGATGTCCTCGTCCCCTTTTATCTCCTTTTATCTCTTCTTTGGCTACCTCCCGTGCATGTCTCACCTACACCAGCGCGTCCTCGTCGACGTCGACGTTCTCTCTCGCTTCCTCGTCATCTGTTCCTCGCGTTTCTTTCTCGCTCTCATCGACTCGCAGCCACCATCGCGACTTCGTGGAAAAGCTCACTCGAGTCGCGGGTCAACGAATTCGCAATTACGATCTTTCACGTCGACGTGACTACCTACTCTCTCGTCGACTTTGGAACCCCTGACCCTCGCGCTCCATCTTTGTCGCGCACGTTCGACAACGGCCGCCCTCGTCTCGCAACGCGAGATGCAGTGCTTTGGGATTTTCTTAGTAAATCTATCACGAAAGCCGATAATGCGAGGCGTTCAAACGCTGGTGGTATTCATTTAGCGAGAAACGTTTCTCGCTATATCTTTATGAGAATGAGAAAGGAGAGGGAAACGTGGCCAGTGACATCGCGTGCGCTACAGTGACGAGGAACGCGAAGGAAGCGCGATATTCGCGGACATTTATCTCGTCAGTCTCTCTCCCCCAAATCAGGATATGAAATTCGCCATTCTCTCGCGCGCATATTTCCAGCCATTGACGTAATTGTTATACATCGAATTTATAATTCCGCGCGCTGCGAGCACGCGATATTACCGTGCCACGTCCCGTTGAAAATGGATTACGCGACGCTGTCAAATCAATCGGTATCAATTAACGCGAAATCATATTCGCGACGCCCTTTCCAATTTTCCGCCGCGGCGCACTGAAAGCGCCGCGTGAGATAACGCGGAAAAATGTATGCCCGTAGATATACGTGCACGATCGCGCACACAGTGTTGTGCTGTCGGATGCCCCGGGAATGGTTAGCGTAAACTTGTTTCCCAAATAAACCGTGCCGGACACGTACAGTTTTCATTCGTGCAATCTTTATACGTATACCCTGACCTTTCGAACCGCCGCGGAAAAATCCCAGTCGAATCGCAAATTGGGTTCACGTTTCAGCGGCCAACGAGCAGAAAACGTCCTCGCGAGCTTGGACGCGCGCAAGCGCGCGTGTTCCCGTGTATTCGCGGGATGTGCAAGAGATATCGGAATTCGAAGGAGGAAAAAGCGACGGGAGGTTGGGGTTGCGCATCATACACTTGCGTTCCTTCGACACACTTTGAGACACTACGGCAGCGACGCAATGTAAAAACAATGCGACGGCCCTTCAAAAGCTTTGTCAGCCGACTGTGCCCCTCTTGCTCGGGAGCGTCGTCGCCGTTCATAGGCGTCACATGCGTGGGTGTTTTATGTCCCATTCAAAAACGCGCTTTGAAGAGCGCGTCGTGTGCAGTCGGTGAAGCCGAAAACCTCTGAAAATTCATGGAGACATTCGACGGGCGCGTCGATTATTGCGACCGAAATTCCGCGTTGTTCGCGCGCGTCACTTCCGCATCGCGGATTATTGATAGATACAGATCTCTCTCTCTCTCTCTTTGCATATGCCACAGATCGCGTCGCATGTGCGCAGACCGGCGGGAAAATGCGAAATGACTCGACGCCAATGATCCCGCGTCAGTCACAGGATGGGTAGCGTGAAACGCGACCGCATATGTGCCGCGAGAATTCGTGCATTATGCGGGAAGAATAAGCGCGCTAAATAAGTATGCACGAGCACGCGCGCATATCGACGCGCGAGCGACAATGTGGAGTACCGTTCGGTTTTTGCTCTTTGAAAAGCAAGCAAACACGTGGCTACATACTTCTTGACAACGCGCCGGAATTTATGCATTGAACGGCGGCGCGGTCCGGTAAAGAGGACGACGTATGTATACGCTACGTACATGGCGCAACATTTCCGATGACGACGCTGCGCTCGTGGATAATTCGTGCATACTCCCCCGTTCCCCCGCTCATATCGAGCTCGTACTTCGCTATCGCGTTTTCATGCGTTCTAAAGCTTGCCCTTCCACCGACATCGCGTCGGGAATACTGAAATATTTCGTGAAAAATTCAACGGTTATTTGAGACAGGTGCGATTCATTTGTAACGAGCTGAAACGGGGGCTGCGCGGCAGGATCGACGCATTCGACGCGCTCAACGTGTCGTCTTTCAATTAAGATTCACATTTCCACGGATTTTTCGCATTTAGATGTTAATATATCGCCCGGAGAGATCCCTCGCATAATATCATCCTGTGCCGAAGCGGAACTTTATCATCCCTGCGGAGCAATTCTCAATTTCGATCTCTTTCCCCGTTGCACGGATACATTGGAGTCTGAGCCACGTCAAATCGTATTTTAAACCGCGTTGCTCGCTAGGTCGCGCCGCTCTAAATAATTCATTCCATGAATTATTTCTGTTCCTATTCCCGACTCGCAACGAGGATCGATCTCTTTGATCGCTGCACCCTTCACGCCGTCGTAGTACTTTGTCCCCTCGCGAACGTTCCCTTGCTCTCTCTCTCTCTCTCTCTCTCTCTCTCTCTCTCTCTCTCTCT